TTTCATAGCCCCAGCTGAGAAACCTCCCAAATTTACCAGGCCTGGAGATTGCACCCGGTTTACTGGTGCCATTTTTTAGGGATGTCTTGATGAATTATTTTCAGGGTAACGAGCAGGGCAGCAGCACACATTGCCCAGCGGGAGAAAGCATCCCACGCACGCACACCGCTCGATACTCCTGCATCCCTCCCCGTCCTCGCCACGTCCCTCCGGGGTCCCCTAGCAGTAAAGGGTGGCGAGGAGGAGGAGCGGGAGGAAGAGCACCCCCAGCACGGCCAGGCAGGGGAAGGCGGTGGAGGCGGCGGGGGTGACGCGCGTCTGTGTGGTCCGCAGCGTTCGGTCCCACTGGCTGAGGATGGCCTTTCTGGCCCCGCTCCACTTCCCCGGGCCCATCAGCCGAAACTGGTAGGGGCTGCAGGGGCCAAAGAAGACCTCCAGGGCCAGCCGCGGGTCCGTCAGCAGGAGCTTCAGCACGTTGGGCTTCACGCTGATGGCCGAGGCCAGCTCATCCATGTAGGTAATATAATCCGTCTGCAGCGTGGTGCTGCTCCCGTACCTTCGGGAGAGAGAAGGCAGGAAAAGAGGGGCTGCTTTTAGGTTTCCGCCTTTTTTTCCCCCCCCCACCCTCCATTTTTTTCTTTAAGCACAGTGAAGGCAGTCTGTCCTCTGCTCTCCCCCACCAAACCTGGGGAGCGGAGCTGGCTGGGGGCCACAGCTCCAGGGGACATGCATCATTGCTGCTGTTAGTGGAAGAATCTGGCTCGCAAGAAACTATTGCGTTTTGAAACTTCCTACAATGCAACCGTTTCTAAAAACAAAAGAAAACATTGCTTGGGCCAGGTTCAGCTTTCACTGGTTATATTCGTATTTTTAAAGTATTGCTTCACTATAATATCAGATACACTCAGAGAGGGGGGAGAGTAAGGCACTTCCATGGACTTCATGAAACAAAATAGTGTCACTTGAAGAATAATGATGGAAATGTTCTATTTCTGCTGGGGCCTCACCCTGATTGTGTGTGAATGAGAAATGCTTTTTCAGCCTGATAATGCTCAGTGATGGCAAACGGGCCTTTTCAGACAGGAAATCTTTCCATCACAAATTTTCCACCCAAATTTGCCTGTTTCAGGCCTCCACAGTGCCTGTATCCAGCCCACTTAGGGCTGAGACGATGTCAGGGCTCTTCTGCCAGCACAGGAGTCCCATGAGCTGAACTTACCACTTGAGCTTCTTCCCCATCTTCTCATCAATGTCATCCATCATCTCAGTGACTGGGGGGAGCGTGACCTGTCCTGAAAAGAGCAGGAAGAACATCGGCAAAGGGAAGTGATGGCCAGGAGATGCCTCCTGCAGCAGATGGGGTTTGCAGGGATCAACCGAGCCTTTGAGTGCCTCTCTTCCCTTTGGTGTCAAGAACTGGGCTTGGGTCAAGCTTAGGTGTTGGGGATCTGACACTGGCTCCCCTGTCCTTAAAGGTGTACGGTGATGCCCAAGAGGCTCTTCAGTCCCACCGCAGGGACTTCATTGATATCTGCAGTGAGCTGAAAAGTGACCTGCTCCCACAATGAAAAGCACCCCGTCACATGGAGAACCGATTATTGATATTTCTGACCAAACCCGGTTGTGTTCCGCAGCACTCGGGCACTGCCCTGATTTTCAGTTTGAGCCTGCCCATTGCTGCTGGGAAATGCTGCTTCCCATTAACCGAAAATAGACCTTCGCCCAGCACATGTCCATCCACCTACCCTGAAACACCTTGACTGCCCAGCGGCACTGAAGGTCCACTGTTGGGATGGTGGGTCCAAGGGACTGGACCAGCCCAATGACTGCCATGGTTGGCTTCTTGAGCTGAGGAGGGAGGATGCCTTTGTAGAGCGTGACCTGATTGTCCCTGCTTTTGATGATGGAATCATCCTCCATGAAAGGGTAGGAGTAGCTGTAACCAGTGGCGAAGACGACCACATCAACGTCATCCTGCACAGTCCCATCTTGGAACAAGACGGACGTCTCTCTAAATTCCTTCACATTCGGCTTCATCACCACCACGCCACAAGCGATGCGGCTTGGGAGGTCGTCATTGAACACTGGCTCCTTGCGGGAAGTTCTGCAAGGGCAAATGTGGTGGGGCTGTCACAGAGGTGGCTTCTGCTGGTGGCCCAGGATAGGCACAGTCCAGCCTTGTCCAGAATCGGCACCCCTGGGGAGTTTGGGGGTGGATGGCCCCGTGCGTACCTGTTCAGTGGCATGAGGCCGAAGTTCTCGTGCTTGAAGAACCGGTTCATGCGTCTCACATACAGCCAGTCGCTGAGCGCCCTGGGGAGGATGCTCTCCAGCCAGGTCTGGAAACGAGTGATGACCAGCATGTCCCAGGGGTAGCCGTTGTCCCAGATGCGACTCATCACCCAGGATCCACTTCGGGAACTCAGGTAGACCTGGGGGGACAGCCAGGAAGGGGTGAGCTGTCCCCATGATGGCTGTCTCACAGAGGTGGTGGCATGTGCTCAAGCATATAAGGACCACCCCCACCGTTCCCCAGTGGCTCTGGTGTAGGTCCCCGTACCTGTGACGCCACTGTGCTGAGCTCCACGGCAATGTCACAGCCGGAGTTGCCCAAGCCTATCACCAGGACCTTCTTCCCTCTGAACTTCTCCGGCTCCTTGTACTCTCGGCTGTGGAAGTAGCAGCCTTTAAACTTCTGTATTCCTGGGGAGGAGAACAGAAGGGGTCATAATTCACCCCAGGAATGAAAAGGGGAGGCTGTGCTGGCCTTGGGATCTTCCCTTCCCGCAGATGCTGCTGGAGCATCCGTCTGAGTGTTTCTCACAGTAGAAGATGTCTCCTGTACACAAAGGGATGCTGCAAACCCGTAGTTTGGGATGGGATGGGATTTGTCTCTGGCTTCATTCAATATTTAAAAAGAAATACTGTGCAAACACAGGATACCTTACGCAGTATTTCTGTACCCCAAAAGCATACTATTGTAACCCCAACATCGCCCCAAGGTCCTGGACAGCCACACTCCATCCCCTCCGCATGGCTTTACACCCTTGCGGTAGTGAATGACAGGGAAGCAGCTTTCATTTTTGAAACAGAAGACGGCAAAGGACCTGATGGGAGTTTTCCTGACCAGTTGGTGCCTCAAGCCCATGTCCTCCAAGCACCTCCAGACCCCCAGCACCAAGTATTTCTTGCCAGAAAGAAATTTTTTCCCAATAATATGCCTGTACACAGAGAAGCAAAGGCTGTTGGGTAATGCGCATGGTATTTGCATCAGAAATCATGGTAAAATGTAAAAAAAAATTTTACAAAATCCTTTTATGAAAAATCTTCTGTTAAAAGAAACAGCCTGAAATAATTTTTTTCTGGGAAAGATTAGCATTGTCCCTGCTTTGATATGGTTTGGATACTGAGCCTTTTTTTTTTTTTTAAAAAAAAAACAGGTTTTGATTTCCTGAACGGACCCCCTATCCCCAAAAATATTGCTCTCCTTTTAATGCTGAAAAGGCATTTTTTGCGGGGAAGAACATTGTGATGGAAGGTATTTGCTCGGCTGTGTCCCAGCGCAGCTTACCTGGGAACTCGTCGAGGGGGAGCTTTGGGTAGACGTGATGCCCAGAGCAAACCATAACAGCATCAAAAACCGCCTTCTCTTCCTTCCCATCTCTCTGGGTCACCACCTCCCATTGCCCCGTCGCAGAAAAGTCTGGGCGTTTTCTAACCTTGGTGACCAGGGTCTTAAAGGAAACAAAAGAAAGAGATCCATGGGTGTCCGCGGAGCGGTTTAGGGATTCAGAGGTCCCGGGGAGCCCAGGGATGTTTGCCGCTGCAATTTCATGCCGGCAGCTCTGCGGAGTGCACAAAGAGGGGACCTGGTGAGACCTGCTTTAACAAAACCAGGAGGTTTTTTCCCTGGAATATTTTCTCCCAGGATTTTCCCTGAGGCAGGGAGACCCAGACACAGAGGCAATGTCCCTCCTGTCCACGTTCCCCTGCTACTCGCTGCCCCTCTCCGCTCCAGGCTTTTTACCTTGAACCGTATGTGCCGGAGCAGGTCAAAGTGCTCGGCGTACTTGCAGATGTAGTGCTGGAGCCTGGCATTGTGCATGTAGTTGGGGTGGTCGTCGGGGAAGGGGAAGTCAGGGTAACACATCATCTCTTTGCAGGAGTTGGTGAAGACGGTGCGGTAGATGCTGGCTCTGCCTTCCTCTGCCTGGTCCTGGAGGGAGAGGAGCATGGACGTGTCCCATTATGGGGGATATGACCCCTGCCTGTCCTGGAGCCCTGCACCAACTCCTCCAGATAGCATCACCCCCTGGCCTCCACCTTCAGGCTGGAGCGAGAGAAAAATGGCAAAGCCATCAAGTGCAATGACCAAATAACCCCCTGTGAGTGTAGGAGTGTCCTAACAGGCCGGGAGGAGGGTTTGCATCACCCAAGGCACTTAGGAGCCGGTTACTTGCGCATCTGCCAGGGAAAGTGGAAACCTCAGGGGAAGGGAGCGCTGTGGAAGGACACATCCAGAAAGCTGCACATCCAGAAAGCATCGGGAGGTCAGGTGTGACACAGCTACACTCGTGCACACGGACACATGCAAAATATCACAGGAGACAAGTAACTTGGGACCTCCCAGTGCCCAGCTTCCTCCTGGTCTCCCTGTAAAGCTTCCAAAATCCCGCTGGCGCACTCGGACATCGCTCCTTTGTGCGCATGGTCTTGGCGATTGCACAAGCGAAGGCAGAAGCCCAGCAGGGTGTGTTTGCTTTGACGCAGTGGCTCGGCTGCCCATGCTTTATGCAATCGTAGGGCAGGTCTGGCCTGGGACGTGAATGGAGGTTTGTGCCTACCACCCAGCAATGCCCGTGCCAGCCAGCCAGTGTCCCGCTGACAGAAGGTCAGGACATGGGGGATCTGCCAAAATCCCCAAGACCACCATGCAGTGGGGCCTGGGCTGGCCGCAGGCCGGTTCTGCCCAAAGTGGCCAGCCCCACACATCGCCCTGTCCCCATCGGGGGGCACCTGCTATGTCTGCCCTGACACTTGGCACTTAACAGCACAAAACACAGGTAATGCATTTCCCTTTCCTGATGGCTTTGGTGCCAGGACAGAGCTGGGAAAAATGCAGCAAGGTTTCTGCGCTGGAAAATTCATATTTGGGTTGCCCAAATGATTACCAACTTCCAATAAAAGAAAAAAACCCAACAGATAAGGAGCTGAAGTGTTTTTTACTTTTCACCTCGATAGTGATATTCTGTTCCGAAATTCTCCATTATACGTATCAAAAAGTATTGCCAAACTCTCTGGAGGGATTAGCTGGAGCCCTCCCCAGAAAAGACAGAACACATGTGGTCCATGTTTTGAGATGAATCTAATGTTGCAGATCACCCAGAACAAGCTTTCTGCCCTCCCCCTCGGCCTCGGGTTTTAACTCACATGGGCTCAATTCCTTTCCCCTACGGCACCCGGAGCTGCTCCTGCAACTGCGATCACACCCCAAACTGTCCCCTTGGCCCCAGCCTGCCGGCGGGTGGGCACATGGCACAGATGGCTCTGGGTCTGACCCTCTAATTATTCATTCAGGCTCCCTTTTGGCTCCGTGGTCCATGGCCACTACGTAAAAGCATGCCGAGAGCTACCCTGAGGAGCAGTGTGTGCTCCCCAAGGTGGGGTGACCGGTGGCAGCCCCACAGGGTGACTTTTGCAGAGCCTGAAGGCTTGCATTTCGGAGCCGTCCCTGTCTGCGTGGGCTTTGAGGGGAGCGGGAGCATGTCTTCGGTGCCACCCCAAGGGGTTTGCAGCCCCTTAGCTGGGGAGAAGCTGGCGGCTTCCTCCGTCCCCAAAGGAGAGGGGTTGGCAGTTCAGAGGGGCCTTGGCTCAGCAAGCCAAGCTGTCCCCGGGGTAAGGGCCCGGGGGACCTGTACTAAACCAGCCAAGCCCTCCCGTGTGCAGCCATCAGAGCAGAGCAAGTGGGTCAAGCACATGGGGTGCAGCCTCCCAGCCCCGAGGACAGAGGTTTCCCCAGCCAGCTCTGAAACCAGGCAGCCAAAGCCACTCACCATGTAGCGCCAGAGCCCCCCGATGCCTTCGCTCTGCTCGAAGCAGATGGGCTCCAGCCCCTCGTCCAGGCAGCACTTGATGGCCGCCAGCCCGCTGACGCCTGC